CGCTGGGCGGCACCAGCGTCCAAACTCTCGAGCGGGACACCGTTCGAGCGTGGCGGGCAACAAAGGTCCCGTCGGTTAGCGCCGTTATGTGGGAGAGAACGCGCTCCCCTGGTTGGTGGAAGGGGAGTGGTAACCACTGGTGGGGAGTCCTCGACTTCCCCTATCGTCGTTCTGCCACCACGTTTCCCCTCCAGTTTTATCGCTCCTCCTCCACCCCCACCGACGCGGCACGTGTTCCGTTCCACTCGGTCTCGTGCGGAAAACGATCGTCCGTCCTCGTCCTTGTTCGCCCTGTGCCGGAGTTCCTGGTAGGGGTGGTGAAATATCGTCGGTGGAGGGGATGCGCGAGAAATACCGCGTGGTAGTGGGGAGCAGAAGGACTTTGTAATGTAGCCAGCACGCGTCACGCGCTCTTCACGCTGCGATTATATGCTCGTGACTGGAGGAAAAGCGTCGTGATTTTTGGAGGAAATTGGAAGTGTTGATCATATTAGGCGATCGAGGCTCGTGTTGGAATCTTGGTTATATCGATTGGAGTAAATTTCAGATCTTTCGACTTCGTTTAAAGCAGCGTTCGTTCATTTTGCTAGTGGAGGTATTTCGATAAAATGAACGACGCAGAGAAAATATAAAGGAACGGGTGATTCTGAAATGTCTTTGAAAGTATTGGAATTCGTTTCACCGATTTTGTAGTTATCAGTTGATTTATGGATCGGTTTATCAAGGTTATCGTGGAAACTCAGAGACGTCCGCCACGTAGTGCATCAAACTCGTGGTTGATCGTTGTAGAACCTTTCTTATCGTCGCTATCGTTGAGCGTGTGTTTGTCACGCGGCTTATTTTGCAGCTAACAACGCGGTTATCACTTCTGGCTGCCAAGGTACACACGAGCACTTTCAGCTGTACGACGATAACGCGTTGTTAGTTTCGTTCTGACGAGAAAGCAAACTGGCCTCGAAGGGAGCAATACCTATTTACACACTCGTAATCGTTTTCCGGTTTAGGCGACCTCTCGTCAACGATCGAGTCGCCCTATTCCCTTTAAAAGCCATTGCCACCGTGTCTAAGTACATCTTCCCGTGTGTGTTTATATGTGCGACGCACAGCATCATAAATTTCAGTGGACAGTTTCGAGTCTCTAGCACGCGGATACAAAACGAAACGAAAATAGCTTCTACTTTAAACATACGGTGTTCCCGATCAACATTTCCTATCCGAACGTTCACTATCGAATCTTAAACTTCAAAAGAGTGGCAAGTCGTTAGCCGACCATTACTCCCGTCACTCGACCACGTGATTCCGAATATACGTTCCAAATAAATCTAAAATCGCGCCGCTACTCGTCCGTTGAGCATTCGTTCTTACGCGTATATCCTTCCACAGCACTTTCAAGGTACATGACATGATATAATTATACGAACCAAGAAACTTTGAACGATCTTGAGTGCAACGAGCCATCCACGCGTCGCATACGAACTCCTCCTCGGACACGGCGTTCCTTCTTAGTTGATCGCGAAACGATAATCATCGTCGTTCCACGTTCCCGTCACACGAGAAAAGCCTAGCTCAAACTCGATAACGAACTCCACTGACCACTCTAAAACGTCACGTTATATATACACACTTTTCCTCGCCTCGTTAAAATAACCAGCATTACGTGTTGTATAATCGTATCGGGAGAAGAAATCACCGTGATTCGAACTCTGTCATCGACGTGAAGATCCGACGTGAATCGTGACGATGGAAATCGGGGATACCGGCGCGGTTTACTCGACACGAGAAGACAGTATCTCGAAAGAGGGTTGGCACACGTTGAACTGGCTGTTGTCGAGCTCGATCGGTCTGCCCGGAGCAGGCGAGTTTCCCCTTCGCCACTTTCCCTGCGCGCACCCTCCCCCTCTCCGCGTCCTCTCCGCGTTCCACCGCGCGAAACACACACGGCCGATATATATGTTTCCCCTTCATCCCTTCCCATACCATCCGCGACACTGTCTCTCGTCTTCCTCCCCCGCCGCCGCGAGGACTCGTGAAATTCCGGAATTCCGCGCGTCCGTGGCTCCACCTCCCCCCTCACAGAGCGC